TACATTGTCATGTTTCCTGTGACTGAAGTCTTCTAATCATCCAGAAAAATTAAAAGACACAGCTTTAATCTAAATCAAATATTAATAAATTACAAATCGCACATATTAATGAACAGAACTTTTGTATTATTTCAAATGAGATTAAAATTAAAGTTTTATTTAAAAATCTCATAATCAGGACTCAAAGTGCCTCAGAGTTTTTACTCCTGTTTACAAATGTTTGTATTGAAAAACACAACAGAGACAATTTGAGGTTAAATGTGTCTTGCAGCACCCCTGCTTTCAACAAGCAAATCCACACTAATAATTTATTGTTTTAATTCATTTATTTTATCTCATTTTACATTAATATTTTATATATCAATGCTTTCAACAATGTTTTATGTTCATTTTATGTCTTTTCTTTTCATGTGAGGCAACTTGGTGCATGTCATTTCTTTGTTGTAAAGCCTTTATGCCTTTATTTCTTGTATGAATGGGGCTATAATAAATAACGTTTTTTTATTGTTATTAACTCATTTGAAATGACTTTATTAAAAAACGTTGTTTTGAAAATCCAGACCGGAAACCAAACGTCACCGGTTTAATTTTGATAGGCGCTGACCGATGTCCCCGCGTTGTTATTGATGTGGCTAACGCGGACTGACCTGACGTGTTGGTTCGTCTAGTTGAAGTGAATGACTCAATGCGGGCTGCTGTCTGTCTCCATCTGCAACATGACGCTTCAGACACTAACGGTAGACGTGTATTTACGGTCTGCCGTTAAACTTCACCCGGTAAGAGCGCACGTTAAATCCCATTCACGTTCGGTAATATTCAGCGCTTGTTTTCTCTTGTAGCTAGCTAGCTAACGTTTAGCCAGCGCCTGCCCGAACAGAGCGGAGCATCAGTCCGGCGCAGCTAACGGCAGAAGTTGGCCTAATAATGCTAAAGATTGTGGGAGGAATTGGACACTGTTACGCCGGTTTTTTAGAACGCAAGAAACAAAACTGTAAAAATGAAAAAATAATATAATCTTGTTGGTTTTGTTTGTGTCTCGGGAGTTAAAAGCCGCTGTCCACTTGCTGCTCAGGTCACCTGCTGCCGTCCCAGTCTTCCTTCCTGGCTCCTGTTCAGCTGAATACAAGCACTATTCTCATGCAAATCAGTGAGGGTGTCCTGCTGCCAACATAGAGGAATTACAGAACTCATTTAATATTTAAAATACAGTGAGTGTTGCTAATGATACAAATGTTTGCAATGAGCAGTGTTAAAATTATCATTTAAGTTATTGTCTTTCCAATTGATGTAAATTGATTGACTAAAAGACACAATTTAGCAAACCTTTTTCATTGGCCTAAAACAATAACTTAAATGATAATGTTTACACTGCTCATTGCAAAACATTATTATAGCAGAACTCACTGCATTGTTAATGGTATAAATGAATAGTTCTGTAATTCCTCTATGTGGCAGCAGGACACCCTCACTGATTTTGCATTGAAAAGTGCGTTGTATTTCAGCCCCTGAACAGTAGCCAGGAGGAACAGACTGGGAGGCAGCAGGTGACCTGAGCAGCGTGGACAGCGGCTTTACTCCTCGAGTCACAAACAAAAGCCAAACAGGATGTGAATTTTTTTTTCATTTTACAAGTTTGGTTCTGGCCGTCTAAATAAACTCGTTCGTTACACGGTCGTCAATTCCTTCCTCACAAGTTTTTAGCATTTTAGCGCACTCTGCCGTTAAGCTTGCGCCGGACATGATGCTTCCGCTCTGTTCGGGTCAGCGAACGGGTAATCGTTAGGCTAGCTAGCTACAAGGAAACAAGCGCTGATATCATTAGCCTGTACGTGAATGGGATTTTAACGTGGCGGCTCTTAGCGGGTGAAGTTTAAACGGCAGAACCGTAATACACGTCTAACTCGTTTAGTCGTTCTGAAGGCGTCATGGTTTGCTTAAGTCGGAAGACAGGACATTGCAGGCCCGCTATGATGTCATTTCACGTCAACTTTCAGCGACCAACGTCGTGTCATGTCCGCGTTAGCAATAATAACTATTACGTCGACATTCTCGTGTCAGGCTATCTTATAATATTTAAACCGGTGACGTTTGGGCGTTTTCCGGTCAGGTGGATTTTCAGTAAAGCATAGACGTTTTTGTTAGATAAGGTCTTTTTCGCAGATAGTTAATAGACAATAAAAAAACGGTTATTTATATAGCACCATTCATACAAGAAATAAAGCATAATAGTGCTTTTAGCAAGCAAGAAATGACATGCACCAAGTGCCTCACATTAAAAGAAAGACATAAAATAACATAAAAACATTGTTGAAAGCATTGATTATCATAAAATATTAATGTAAAATGAATAAAAATAATGGAATAAAACAATAAAATTTTAGGTTGGGATTGCCTGGAAAATGCAGGGCTTGCGACATTTAAACTCAAATGTCTTGTGTGTATTTTTCAATACAAACATTTTTGTAAACAGGAAGTAAAAACATCTGAGGCCACTTTGAGTCCTGATTTATGATTTTAAAAAACTTTAATTTTGATTCATTTAAATACAATTTTTCATGTTATGATTGTAATTTATAAATATTTGGATTTTAGATTAAAGCTGTGTCTTTTAATTTTTCTTGGATGATTAGAAGACTTCAGTCACACAGAAACATAACAATGTACCAAATGTATTAATTTCTTCACCTTGTTTTATATACTGTATATTACTGTTTTGTTTGGTTCAAACGTTTGTTGTTTTGTATTTTTGTATTTTGTTTATCCACCATTCCCATAGATAGTGGCAAAGGAAATATCCTGAGGACATAAACTGTATCAAATCTGAGGATTTTTAAACAGTAAACATAATCTTACAGCCCGGATCAATTTAAAGCTTCATGTTGTTTCTGAAGTGGTTTTTGCATAATCCTGTATTTGTTTGCACTGTCAGTGAATGCAGCGATAGTTTTGAGTACTTGACTTACTCATTCAGGTGAAGGATATATATATTTAAAGTGACATTCTCAACTTGTTACATATATAACATAGTGAGTCTCAGCCCTGAAGTGATAACGATGGACTCAAACAACTAACCATCTGGAAAAAAGAGTTTTAATTTTTCACATATCATTGTACAGTGGATGTACTGTACATTATGAATTTATACAAACCAGTGACTGTCATATTTATAACAAGCCCATAATATGCATCACAGTATTGTGTTCAATGCCACAGTTTCAACAGAAATGGAACGTTTTCAAGAATTAATTCCACTGAGTTCATGGTTACTGCCAGAACAAAGACATTCAGCGGTTTGATGTGTTTTAAATCAGTTGTGAACATCGGTTGAATAAAAACAACCTGAACTTAACATTCATGTGCTGGTTGGAAAAATTGACACAACCTGAGAGACTTGAGGGCTCTGACTAAGCTTGCAGTTGTGTGAGATTTGGTGGAAACTCAGTGAATCGAGTAAGCTGAAACAAACTGCATGGCTTAAAGCAAACTCAACGCAAAACACCATATGAAGAGGTTTTGATTTGTATGTGCTTTATGTTGAATTAATCTTGTGCCCTGCTGCTGCCACCATTCTGTTCTTGTGGTGCGACCACACGGGGGCACTAACGTTTAAATCTAAAAGAAGAGTTGATGATTTTGAGGTTGGAGTTTAAGCCAATTAGGCATTTTAATGTCTCCACCAAACTGACAAAAGGGTTCCTGTCAGAAATCTCAGTTTTTATCAGCTTTTAATGCTTCAGGGTGAAAAATCTGAGAAAAAACAAAACATCAGAGGAGAATTTCTCCCTTTTGCTTTCTGTGTCGTTGAACAGTGAGTTTGTCACGTTTTTGTCACTGATATTTAAACTCCCCAGGGCTTGTGAGGGTTAATAAGGAATAGTTTGACATTTTGGGGAATACTCATCGTCATGACCTACTACTACTGTAAATATGGTAAGGGCCACAGCAGACCTGGAAAGAGGTAACCTTATACACCTTAACAATTTAACATCCTTATTTGGTTC